GTCAGTGACGTCACGTGATGACCGCGCACACAGGCTGAATCTTGTCGACCCTTTTAGTTCATTAAAGTTAATAAGGGGACACTTACCTTCTGGCAGTGACGTCACACACACACACAGGTTGAATCTTGTCGACTTACCCCTACACATTTCATATACAACATAGGGAAAACATTTTCACTCTTAACCCAAATAATTTCACATTTTTTTTCGTTAATACCCACATTTTCTTTACAAAATACAACACAAGTCTAGATATTTTTCTCGTTTTAACTATTTCATCTCAGGTCACTCCCCACGAAGTAACCTACCTCCTCCCCACACTTATAACCACTTTTCCATTAATTCACTAGTCACAATTTTTACATATTACGAAGTTAATACGCACACACACCTCACTTTGAACACCTTCAAAACACGCTCATAAATCATTTGAATACTCACAAAAATACCTTTGAACATTTCCAAACAACACTGAAACACTTCCAAAATATCATTTTGAATACTCCCAAATAAGATTTGACAGCTCTAATTTATCTGCACTTACACATTTCATTAAATTACAACTCATCTCCACAAACTCCTCCCTCAGTCTCCAGACTTCACAACAGTATCACAAAAACTAACTCAAACATTTTACTTTGAACATCACCAAAAAAAAACACCATCAATTGCCTTAAATACTCCAAAAACATCAATCGAACACCATCCCCCCCCAAAATCACCTCTGAATACTCCCAGAACACCTTCATAAGTACTCTTGCACATCATTTGAACACCTTCAAAAACACCTTTGAACATTTCCAAACAACACTGAAACACTTCCAAAGCACCATTTGAGTACTCCCAAATACACCACTGAATACTACTAAAATACCACTGAATACACTCAAAACACCACCAAAATCACCATAAACTAAGATCAACACCCACATGCCACAACCCTCATCACCCACATCACCCACACCTCACAATTTTTTTTCTCGTTTTAACTAATTTCATCAGAAAAAGTCACAACAACAACACACTTATAACGTCTTTTCGGTATCTCTAGTTCGACAACAACGCCCACAACACCCACAACCTACAACACCCACACCCCACAATATTTTCTCGTTTTAACTAATTTCATCAGAAAGTCACAACAACAACAACAACCCACAACTTATAATCACACCTTTGAATACACTCAAAACACCACCAAAATCACCCAACCCACAACACCCACATCCCACAACACCCACGACCCACAAACACTCACATCCCACATTATTTTTCTCGTTTTAACTAATTTCATTAGAAAAAAGACACAAAAACAACCCACTTATATAATATTTTTTGGTAACTCTAGTTCGACTACATTACCCACAACCCTCATCAATTACCAATTTATTCACATTTTTTTTCCTCTTCTTTTTACTGAATCTTAAATGTAATACACATTCCTCTTTACATTACTAAAATTCTAATAAAATCCTCTCCATACCCATCTCCTTGTATCCACATAAATTGATATTATACTCGCATCAACTAACATCACTACCCAACTATTGCGACATGTTTCAACACCCTCCATTCTTTCCCAATATATCATAACTTTTCAATTCTATAATTTCTTTTTAAAATATTCACACATGACCTTTTATTTTCAGTAAAATCTCCCAATAATTCTAATTACAACTCTCCCCATACCCCTCCCCATCTCACTCGCATTTCTTCACATACACTCACCCGTTTCCCATCACACCTCGTCTGAACAAACACAAAATCACATTTCACATCCACAAATGCATCTCATCACCCATCTCAAATCCACTAAAAATCAATGTAACCAAGATATTCACAAAATTCTATGACCACCTAACACACACACACACACACACACACACACACACACACACACACACACACACACACACACACACACACACACACACTCACACACTCACACACTCACACACCTAACCTAACCTAACCTAACCTAACCCATCCTATCCTAACCTAACCTAACTTAACCCAACCTAACCTATGCTAACCTAACTTAACCTAACCTAGCCTATCTTTACCTAACCTAACTAGTCTAACCTAACCTAACCTAATTTAACCTAACCTAACCTAACCTATCACTAACCTATCCTATCCTAACCTAGCCTAGCCTAACCTAACCTAACCTAGCCTAACCTATCCTAACCTAGCCTAAACTATCCTATCCTAACCTAGCCTAGCCTAACCTAACCTAACCTAGCCTAACCTATCCTAACCTAACCTAACTGATCCTAACCTAACCTGTCTTAACCTAACCTAACCTAACCTAACCTAACCTAACCTATCTTAACCTAACCTAACCTAACCTAACCCAACCTATCCTATCCTAACCTAACGAACCTAACATAACCTAAGCTAACCTAACCTAGCCTAACCTAACCGAACCTAACCTAACTTATCCTAACTTAACCTAACCTATCCTAACCTTTCCTAACCTAGCCTAACCTATCCTAACCTAGCCTAACCTATCCTAACCTAACCTAACCTAGCCTAACCTAACTGAACCTAACCTAGCTTATCCTAACTTAACCTAACCTAACCTAACCTAACTTATCCTAAACCTAACCTAACCCAACCTAACCTAACCTAACCTAACCTAACTTATCCTAACCTAACCTAACTTAACCCAACCTAACCTAACCTTACCTAACCTAACCTAACTTATCCTAACCTAACCTAACCTAACCTAACTCAAATCCACTAAAATCACTGCAACCAAGATATTCACAAAACTGTATGACCACCTAACACACACACACACACACACACACACACACACACACACATGGAACACTTCCAAAATACATTAGAGTACTCCAGATTTACTTTGAACGACTCCATTTTTGGATATTTCCAAATTAGTTTTGAAAACTTTATCTTAAAATCGAACATTATTTTCTTGTTGGTAAACACTCAATGGTAGAAATATTTACTCGATTTCCGAACAGAAACACATTCCTCGCTCTGAGAGACTCCTTGAGCTTATATGTCTTACCCCAAAGTATTGCATCATGATTTTTGTACACCCCTTCCCCCTCCAACGCCACCGTGTAATGCGGTTCACACCCAAGGTAGATTTAAGATAATCATCTCCTTACCGAACACCTGCGTCAACTCAGGACAGACACACGCCATGAAATGCGGTTCACATCCATGGTAGAAAATCACATAATCATCTCTTTCCAGACCAACTGTGTCCTCTTGTTCTAAAATTTGGTGAGGTCTCAGGGGCTGACAGACACCATGAAATTAACTTTAATGAGATATAACATTTGTATTCTATCTCAATACTTTTTTTTCATGGTAAGGTTTGATTGATTTAAAATTCATCATGTCTTAAAAACTTTTATTAAACATTTCTCTTTTTAATGAATGAATGAAACATATTAATCTTGGTGTAACAACACCCTCTAAACATCATAAATCCTCCTCTCTAAGTCTTGTTCTTCCAAGTCCCGTCACATCGGTACCTGTAAATTTTAATATATTTTTTTATTTCATTAGCATATAATGGGGAGAAATTTGCACCATCACCTGTAAAAGATATAAACCAACTAAAAGTTACATATTTTTTCACTATCCCAAACATATTCTTCTCGTTAACTTAAATATCTCCCCATTCTTGACTTAAGCATAATCGTATTGTGTCCCCTTATTAACTTTAATGATGTAAGTATTATGGTAGACATGATTCTTGGTGTTCAGGTAGAGAGAGAAGGTCGAAAAGGTAAGTGATACATTTTCATGAAGAGATAAATATGAGTTATATATATTAATTCAAATATATCTCTCTTCAAGTTATAATTACTTCCTCATAATAATTTAAATAAATTAAACCACTGATACAAGGTAAATAATTTTGCTTACCTCATGAGGGATACCAAGCACTTCCTTCAATTCTAGAAGACAATAACTTCGAATCATCTTCTAATTCTTGACTTTGGTTAATGTTTTTCATTTCTTCTTTGACAACCATTGTTGATCGAATACTTTCTTCCTTAAATTTCATTATCATATCTTCGAGTATAGGTTTATAATGTGTATTCCAGATATAATCATTTGAAGTTTCATACCTCCCAATACCTTTCAGAAAGATAACCTCTCGTATATTTTTATTGTCTTTCACACTTTTTATGACTCTCTCAATGGATTCCTTGAAATATCTTATTCTGTCTGCGATAGTATCTTTCTTTAAACCTACACACAAATGGGTATCTCTTGATTTTTCAATTAAATTTTGAGAATGGTATTTTCCTCCAATGGTCCAGCAATACCAAATTGGCTTATTATGGCTGCTAAATAAGGAAGATTCAATTTTCTTTGATCCATTGAAGGTTCAAACTCGATAACAGTTCCAGGAGTATCACGATCTTCAACTCTGCATCTTCTCAGATTAAATAAAGGTTCTCTACTCCGATACACATCAGCATAAGGATATTTCTTACCCAAATAATAACTTGCACTATATCCTTTTATAGCAACACAATTCGCATGAAAAATAATGCAGACGTTGTCACGACAATATTTTTCATCGTACAATTTTCCTTCTTCAATTTTAAAATATTTTTCCATCCTATTGGCTGTCTCCATTTTCTTGAGATGGTTAGTCGCACCCTGGTGGAAGAGGTACTAATGCATGAGCATCAAAGAACAGAGATGTTTATACTCATCACCGTTCCTGCCAGACGTATGATCTCTATTCAGTTGCCTAATAAGGTTTTAGAGTGCTGGTGAATAAAACAAAAAAAAAAGTATTATAGAGATATTTTATTTGTCATATTTTACAATAATGATAACAATATTTCTACGTCGTTTTTTTTTTTAATTCCTTTGCAAAATCATGAACTTTCCCCTTGTTAACTTAAATGAACTAAAAGTGTGCATGCCAATCACCTCCGGCTGATGCACATCCAATTCCTTCTGGAAACACAACTTTTTCCATTATAATCCCGTTGGGATCTGTTAATAACCACTTAACAAGATCATTCATGCACTCTTTGAACATAATCTCACGACCTTTCTTTGTATCTAAATATTTGCATGTATTATATTAGGCCTTATCAACTTTACAGTTCATATAATACTTATGTGGAGGTCCCATCGCATACTGTGCGAACATATTGACAATCATGGGGTTATTTTTTCCATTATTTACAAATTTTATGCTCCCAAATTTATCACGAGTGACTTCACTAGCTAGATTTGCTTTATGACATCCAGGTGATCTAAATAAATATGGATTGCTAAGTGGTAAAACCTGACTTAAAGCATCAGCAAGACCTCCCTTTTTCAATTTAACAGCACAACAATTTGCTTGTTGTACTAAAAGAATTTTATCACTGCCACTAAAATCTTTTGTAATATTACCTTTCATTACCGAAAGATATTTTTCTTCATCTTTTGTTGCTTCTTTACCTGTAATTTTGATAAAATATAGTATTATATCCCAAAAATTAAGATTGTTACTATACAAATGAAAAAACAAATATTTCTCATTAGAATTTCTAAAAATTACATTGAGGGTGAATTTACTCAATAATATCTCATTAAAAACTCACGTTCAAAATCTTCCATTGCTATAAGCATTTCTTTATTGGTGAGATATTGTTCAGTCACCTTCCTTCGTTTTGGAGGGTTGTGATCAAGGTCTTCTATCGAATTAATCATTTCTTTATCAGTTCAGTGATGTGTAGACACTTTTGCTTCTGCAACAAATTTTTCACATGTAACTTCCACTTATTAAATGAACTTTTCCTCTTAACTTAAACACAAGATGAGTCTAACACGAATTTTTTTTTTAGGCTATAACAAAAATCTCGCTTGAATTTTTACAGTCCAGGGAACTTACGTAGATCTGAAGTCTTCATCTAAATACTCTTGTATCTCAATACGGATGTGTCTTATTATACTCTTTTCACCACGAGGGTTGTCGAGTTAGTAGTTTTTATAACTATATGTGTAGAGAAATTTGTTCCATGAAAAACACTACGTGGCATCACCATGACGATAGGTGAATGAACCACCACGAGTTTAGTGTCATACAGGATGGGGATCATAACTTACTTCAATGGTATTATGACATGTTATTACTATACCGATGGTGCATACTTGGAAATGCATGAAGACAATTAAAGGTAAGATAATTTGTTCAATGAGTATCGTTACATCATGCTTTTAGTTCATTTAAAATAATAAGGGGAAGATGCTCTAACCTGTTTTAACGTGTTGCTGGATAGTGACGTCACAATCAAGTGTTGCCAAAAAAATATTGTCTGAATATTTCTTTTTACTGAAAAATAAGGAAAGTTAACAATGACTAAACATATTATTTGAAATATACAATGGATAATATATATGCTTTGAAGAAATCCCCTGTAATGTGTATTTGTATTATTAAAAAAAATGATATTCGTTGATGACAACGATTGAAATTTTTGGTATAAATATTCGGAGTGAAATGGTAAGGAATCACTTGAGCAGAAGAAGAAATATGGAGGTGGTTGTGACAAAACATACTAGTGTGGTGTTTATAGAAATGTTGTATACAATTAAGAGAGTCGAACCCATTCAAAAAAGAGTTGATGCGGAACATGTTCTCTCAAAAGAAGTGATTGTAGCTGAGGTGCGAGAAATGACTCAACGATGGAGTGAAGAAATATTGGAAAATTTAATGTTACGAGAATGTGAATGGAGTAGTCATATATCTCAAACTTTTATTATACCAAAGCCCAAAAAAATAATTATGAAACTGGATTTTGAAATGGCTGATCCTAGTTTAGGTAAGTTTAATGAAATTTTTCATTTAATACTATTTAGCAACTCTTTATGTATATGGGAGAGTTGTGTGTAAGTCACCCCCAGACATTGTCCAGGAACCACATGGAAAGCATCTAATATGGGGAAACTTGGCGATTTCATTGTTATTTGTGAAACAGTGAAAGATCTTCCTTGGTTGGAATTTTGCAACACTGTCAATCAACTCTTAAGGAAAGATGGTGAATCATTGAGTGAAAAGAATTTTCAGCGAGTTAAAAATTGGTTAGAAAATGAACTTGATTCGCATAAATTCATTGATGAAATGGTAACAGAGTGGAGTGATGATCTGGTATATTATATTTTGGAAAACAATATATCTGAAAACTTTGTCAGTCAAATATTTAATAGACAGTATAATCTGTGCATTTTGCATAGATGGTGCAACACAAAGAAGTGGAAATTAATTTAGATAGAACTTTTCACAGGTATTAAACATTATATTAAAAACATTGAGCCTAATGTGTGAGTAACTTATAAGGTAAGCAAAATTATTTACCTTGTATCAGTGGTTTAATTCATTTAAATTATTATGAGGAAGTAATTATAACTTGAAGAGAGATATATTTGAATTAATATATATAACTCATATTTATCTCTTCATGAAAATGTATCACTTACCTTTTCGACCTTCTCTCTCTACCTGAACACCAAGAATCATGTCTACCATAATACTTACATCATTAAAGTTAATAAGGGGACACAATACGATTATGCTTTTAAGTCAAGAATGGGAAGATATTTAAGTTAACGAGAAGAATATGTTTGGGATAGTGAAAAAATATGTAACTTTTAGTTGGTTTATATCTTTTACAGGTGATGGTGCAAATTTCTCCCCATTATATGCTAATGAAATAAAAAAAACATATTAAAATTTACAGGTACCGATGTGATGGGACTTGGAAGAACAAGACTTAGAAAGGAGGATTTATGATGTTTAGAGCGTGTTGTTACACCAAGATTAATATGTTTCATTCATTCATTAAAAAGAGAAATGTTTAATAAAAGTTTTTAAGATATGAATTTTAAATCAATCAAACCTTACCATGAAAAAAAAGTATTGAGATAGAATACAAATGTTATATCTCATTAAAGTTAATTTCATGGTGTCTGTCAGCCCCTGAGACCTCACCAAATTTTAGAACAAGAGGACACAGTTGGTCTGGAAAGAGATGATTATGTGATTTTCTACCACGGATGTGAACCGCATTTCATGGCGTGTGTCTGTCCTGAGTTGACGCAGGTGTTCGGTATGGAGATGCCCGTGTGATTTTCTACCATGGGTGTGAACCGCATTTCATGGCGTCTGTCTGACCAGAGTTGACGCAGGTGTTCGGTAAGGAGATGATTATCTTAAATCTACCTTGGGTGTGAACCGCATTACACGGTGGCGTTGGAGGGGGAAGGAGTGTACAAAAATCATGACGCAATACTTTGGGGTAAGGCATATAAGCTCAAGGAGTCTCTCAGAGCGAGGAATGTGTTTCTGTTCGGAAATCGAGTAAATATTTCTACCATAGAGTGTGTTTACCAACAAGAAAATAATGTTCGATTTTAAGATAAAGTTTTCAAAACTAATTTGGAAATATCCAAAAATGGAGTCGTTCAAAGTAAATCTGGAGTACTCTAATGTATTTTGGAAGTGTTCCATGTGTGTGTGTGTGTGTGTGTGTGTGTGTGTGTGTGTGTTAGGTGGTCATACAGTTTTGTGAATATCTTGGTTACAGTGATTTTAGTGGATTTGGGTTAGGTTAGGTTAGGATAAGTTAGGTTAGGTTAGGTAAGGTTAGGTTACGTTGGGTTAAGTTAGGTTAGGTTAGGATAAGTTAGGTTAGGTTAGGTTAAGTTAGGATAAGTTAGGTTAGGTTAGGCTAGGTTAGGTTAAAAGTTATGATATATTGGAAAAGAATGGAGGGTGTTGAAACATGTCGCAATAGTTGGGTAGTGAGGTTAGTTGATGCGAGTATAATATCAATTTATGTGGATACAAGGAGATGGGTATGGAGAGGATTTTATTAGAATTTTAGTAATGTAAAGAGGAATGTGTATTACATTTAAGATTCAGTAAAAAGAAGAGAAAAAAAATGTGAATAAATTGGTAATTGATGAGGGTTGTGGGTAATGTAGTCGAACTAGAGTTACCAAAAAATATTATATAAGTGGGTTGTTTTTGTGTCTTTTTTCTAATGAAATTAGTTAAAACGAGAAAAATAATGTGGGATGTGTGTGTTGTGGGTCGTGGGTGTTGTGGGATGTGGGTGTTGTGGGTTGTGGGTGATTTTGGTGGTGTTTTGAGTGTATTCAAAGGTGTGATTATAAGTTGTGGGTTGTTGTTGTTGTGACTTTCTGATGAAATTAGTTAAAACGAGAAAAATATTGTGGGGTGTGGGTGTTGTAGGTTGTGGGTGTTGTGGGCGTTGTTGTCGAACTAGAGATACCGAAAAGACGTTATAAGTGTGTTGTTGTTGTGACTTTTTCTGATGAAAATAGTTAAAACGAGAAAAAAATTGTGAGGTGTGGGTGTTGTGGGTTGTGGCATGTGGGTGTTGATCTTAGTTTATGGTGATTTTGGTGGTGTTTTGAGTGTATTCAGTGGTGTTTTAGTAGTATTCAGTGGTGTATTTGGGAGTACTCAAATGGTGTTTTGGAAGTGTTTCAGTGTTGTTTGGAAATGTTCAAAGGTGTTTTTGAAGGTGTTCAAATGATGTGCAAGAGTACTTATGAAGGTGTTCTGGGAGTAATCAGAGGTGATTTTGGGGGGGGGTGTTCGATTGATGTTTTTGGAGTATTTAAAGGCAATTGATGGTGTTTTTTTTTTGGTGATGTTCAAAGTAAAATGTTTGAGTTAGTTTTTGTGATACTGTTGTGAAGTCTGGAGACTGAAGGAGGAGTTTGTGGAGATGAGTTGTAATTTAATGAAATGTGTAAGTGCAGATAAATTAGAGCTGTGAAATCTTATTTGGGAGTATTCAAAATGATATTTTGGAAGTGTTTCAGTGTTGTTTGGAAATGTTCAAAGGTATTTTTGTGAGTATTCAAATGATTTATGAGCGTGTTTTGAAGGTGTTCAAAGTGAGGTGTGTGTGCGTATTAACTTCGTAATATGTAAAAATTGTGACTAGTGAATTAATGGAAAAGTGGTTATAAGTGTGGGGAGGAGGTAGGTTACTTCGTGGGGAGTGACCTGAGATGAAATAGTTAAAACGAGAAAAATATCTAGACTTGTGTTGTATTTTGTAAAGAAAATGTGGGTATTAACGAAAAAAAATGTGAAATTATTTGGGTTAAGAGTGAAAATGTTTTCCCTATGTTGTATATGAAATGTGTAGGGGTAAGTCGACAAGATTCAACCTGTGTGTGTGTGTGTGTGACGTCACTGCCAGAAGGTAAGTGTCCCCTTATTAACTTTAATGAACTAAAAGGGTCGACAAGATTCAGCCTGTGTGCGCGGTCATCACGTGACGTCACTGACATAGGGGGAAGTCGACAAGTTTCAGCTTGTATGTGTGACGTCACTGACCGCCGAGTAAACACCCTTCTTAGTTCATTTAACTTAATGAGAGGAAGCTTTTAGTTCATTTTAAAATAATAAGAGGAAGATGTTTTGTAGTAAGAGAGAGCACCATAGGAGGAGTTCAATGCTTACCCCCAGAAGGGGGGAATCCAAAAGCTTGATCCGAGGAATTGGAGACTTTGATTTCGAAACCCCATAGGGGGAATCCAAAAACCTTGATCCGAGGAGCTCATAAGAATTTCGAAACCCCCATAGGGGGGAATCCAAAACTTGTATTATCGAGAAAAAAAATTTGGGATGGGGGTGAAAGTGGGAGGGGCAATCCAAAAAACTTGATTCGAGGAAGTGGAGACTTTGATATCGAGAAAAATTTGA